ACCATGCGGCGGTCGGCCATCTTGGATCCCTGGTTCTTCAGCGGGTCCGTGTCGTCGAACGCATAGCATTGCCAACAGTTATTCGACGGCACGAACACCGCTGAGCCTCCAGGACGTTCGGGAGTTTCAGGACCAGGTTCACTAAAAGCAATCGGTTCTTTTCGTGGGTTTTGAAAGAAATGTGTTTTCTGTGCGGCGTTCGGTTATTTTAGCTGGGATCTGAGCGGCAATCTCACGAATGATGCGCCCAGACCCCAGCTATCTACCGAACGTCCATTCGTGTAAATCCACCGTATATTGTACCAGTTGTAGATTTTTGTGTGAATTGCCGGTTCTGCTGCACGAGGGGATAATCCCCTTAACGGTGCATTCTGGGAGGATGATCCCTCTCGTGCAGCGGTGCCTGATGGGAGAAATATGTGGTACTGTAAGTCCCCCATGTAGTCCCCTCCTGTACAACCCCTGTAATGTCAGTTTGGAAACCCCTTGCATGGGGAATTGCATAAATACTGTGACCTGTGATTAAAACCTCAGTTGACTCCCAGCCTATGTGTCGTCTAGTTCTTGGGAAGGAAGGGTTACTGCAGTGCTGTTTGGATTATTATATGCTGATTCCCTGGATTATCCTTTGTTGTTCCTGTTACCCAGCGGAGATATCGTGGATCATACTGCCTCTCCGCTACAATGATCTTATATCATAAATGCTCCAGGATGCAGAAAATAGGTGAAGAAAACAAAAATTAATCATGTAAAAATATATGTAGAATTTAAATATATATATGCATATATTTTTGCTTTCTTTATATTTATATATATATATATATATTTTTTTTTTTTATATATTATTTTTATTTATATAGATATATATTAATATTTATATATATATATATTTATATCATCATTCTAAATGTATTTTTGATTTAAATATATATGCATGTTAATATCAAAATACAGTTTGAGCGAAAGTATACAGGTATATATTTTTTTTAATTGAATTTTATTACTTATTTTATTTTATTATGTATTATGTATATTGTGTCAATTAATTGTTTTTATATTGTAGTTATTATACGTCTATAAATTGTAGTTATATACATAATGAACTCCAAAAAAATGGTGCTGGAGTGCCTTAGAAGTAAGGATGCTCATTTGTTGTATGTTATATTTATAATGGACTCCAATAAAATGGTGCTAGATTGCCCCAGGAGCAAAGAATTTCGAGCAAGAAGTTTGTAGCTCTGAAATCAATATCCGCTTAATGACGTCATTGCGTAATGACGTTGGGATGTTGTTACGCGAAGGAATGGAGGCGCCCAGACGCAGCCCAATGACGTAAGCACAACCATGGACCAGAATTACGAGTGTAAGTGAAGGAAAGGGGCCAAATCTACAAGTTTAAAAGAGAAGGTTATGAAGGAGGACGGTAGCAACCCACTTTTGAGAAAGGTGTTAGCCGAAACGCGTTGAGTGGACAGTAGACTTTTATATTAGGTCGTTTTTATCTTTATTTTTGTCCATTAAATTTTTGTTTTCTTCACCTATTTCCTGCATCCTGGAGCATTTATGGTGTAAGATCTGTACAGAGATTGGCAAAAGGAATATCTTGACCCACTACAATTATCCCCTGTATCCTCTATTTCATGCTACTAGTCTGAGCCAGCTTCGTTAAGTGGCTCAGAACCACGTGAGTTGGACCAGCAAAATGTATATAGATTTTAACTGTGTTAACTCTATTTCCCTATGGTCTTTTTATATTGGAAATTTTAGATTCCACATCAAACGTTTCTTTGTGGAATTTATGCAATATTGTGTGCTATAACTTTTGTATTTTTATATTTTTACTGTGTTGTGTGCTTTTAGAGTCATTCACACAGGTGATTCTTCCATCCCATTCTTACTGTTGGTTTATATTCTTTTGGCAGAGTACCAAGATCAGCGCTGAAGATGGAAAAAAAAGGGGTTTATTGATGTCAACAAACACTTTCTCTACCTGAACTGCCATGCAATCCTGCTACTTTATTGTTCGGTAAAGAAAATAGCAGGTTATATGGATTGGCAGAATGCCAAAATATGCAGATGTTTTAACGGCAAAGATATTATAAAGCAAAAAGAAAATGACCGCAGTTACATATTATATGCTTAAACTATATACTAAAGCAATTCAGAGGTAATTTTTAATTCTTGTTCAATACCTCTCATTTACATAAAATGATACATAAAACTGGTATATTTTAGAAGAAGATAAGGATATCCAAAATTTCCTTGGAAGTAAACCTAAGATAATTTTTAGGGGGGCGAATAATTTTAGGCAGATTTTGACCAACATTTTTTTAGAAAAAGAAGTACCAAGTAATAACTTTCTTAAGGTAGAACATGGGTTTTTATTATTGTAAAAATTGTACAGGTTGTACACTAAGAAAGAACAAAAATAAAAATCTAAAAAAATTCACCTCATTTACCAATAACATACAACATGATCTTACATCTTTTATCACATGCAATTCTAAAAATGTAATATACATGTTAACTTGTCCCTGTGGATTCCAATACATAGGGAAAACAACAAGAGCCCTCAAGATACGCAATAAAAGAACATGTTTATAATATTAATAGAAACTTTTATCAACATAGTGTATCTAAACCTTTTCTAGAGCTCCATAAGGGCGATGCCAGTGGACGAGATTTTATGGAGATTGAAAGCGTTAAAATTCATTGGAGAGGAGGAGATATTAAAGCAAGAAAAAAAATGACCACAGTTACATATCATATTTTTAAACTATATGCTAAAGCAATTTTCAAAGGTAACATTGACAAAAATTACAAGTTTTTTACTTTTGTCTAGATGACACCAGTCCGGTCAGGGAGAGCACAGGCACCCTCCAAAATTTAGACTGAGACTGATTGAGTGCTTCCCCAAGTATGGACATAATAGGCCTTAAGTTGGCACAGTGCCAAGTACCGAAAAATGTGAGCAGGGTTTTTAGTACAGTGCCAAGATACACAACTAGACAAAAGGAAAATCTTCTATCCCTTTAATAATTCTAAACATATCATTTGTTGATGCAGCACTATGCTTCTACAAAAAAATAAAGAAAACATACTTTGAACAGTCCATCAAGAAAAAGCAATTTACATAAACAAGTTATAAATAAATCCCGTGACTTAGTATTTTCCATTGATCCAGTGCTGGATAGATACAAAAATATCAAAAATTATCCAAACTTTTATCCGTAAAAAGTTTGGGTAATTTTTTATGTTTTTGTATCGATCCAGCACTGGATCAATGGAAAATACTTCTATCAAGAGGAAGCAATTATACACTTTATAATTCTAAGTCACGGGATTTATCTCAGCTTTACACTACTTGTGACTTTATTAAATAACAATAGTTATTTTTGAAGTATGTGACAAATTTTGTTTGTCAGTTTAATTATTCATCCCAGATGGTTGAATTAACAAGGGACTGTCCATAATTTGGTAAATTCTTCAGGCAAAGAGATGATTGCCCAACCTTAAGAGGACCCAGATCACTGAAAAACTCTAACAAATATTAACTTCAAAACCTCTTGACATATCATCCAAACATTGCCATAAAAAAGACAAAATGATTACCCAAACATTGCCATAAAAAAGATGAAATGAGTAAACTCAGCAAATACGGTAAACCTATCATCTAGTTAGACTGATTATTGTAGTGATATAATATACATACACTACCAGGGCCGGCCCGTCTATTGGCCCTAGTAGGGCCATGGCTGCAGACGGCACTGTAGCAGGGGCAGCATTTTGCTGCCCCTGTACACTAACAAATGTGCTGTGCAAATGTGCTGTTCAGGGTTTGGCTGGCTATCTGCCTATATATATATCGATTACGGCTATAATTAATTTGGGTCCAGGTTCCCTGCTAGCTTACACAGTGAAGATCCCAGCAGTGTCAGCTTTCCCTCCGGCAGCATGTACTCCTCACTCCTCTCTTGAGCCACGAGAGCGCGGCTGTGGCTTGCCATGGCAACGTTCTAGCCTGCAGTGCGTGCCGCGCAGAGCATTGCATGCAACCTATACACATTCTCTGTGGCTCAGGAGAGGAGAGAGAAGTACCCGCTGCCGGAGACGACGCTTACACTACCGGACATTCCGCTAAATAGTACATGATTTGCCTCCGTACCACCAGAGAACCCAGGGTCCCCACTCCCTGTAAGAGGCAGAAAGGGGGAATAAACAATTTTAAATATAAAACAAAAACATACACTACATTAACAACTGGGCTCTGGGTGCCCGACAGGAGAAGAGCACAAAGCACTCCACCTCCTGCCGATCACTTCTTGTAGCATTACCACGCGGACCAATGTGGTCTTGGTTTTGGTGCGGGGGCAGCATTGCATCCTTGGACCCAGGCAGCAGAATGTACACTACATTTTAAAATAACATATAGTTCAGATGAACCGTAACTATAGATATTTGTAATGTTTTAGATATTAAAACTGGGACGGCAAATCACAAATATTAATGTGCAAATACAGAGGGAAAGAAAACATCAAGAATTTGAATCCCTAAGAAAATTAATAATAAAACCGTATAGTATAAAGCAATATAATCATATAGGATAAGAAAACGTACCTTAAAGCATACAAAACTTAAATTGTTCATCAATACATGATGTCAATGGCCAATTGGATTTGTGTTTTGTCTTGAGTTTATGTCTACAATGGGTTTAAAAGGGTCAAAAATGTGTTGTTCTTTAAAAGGTTCACAATTCAGAATGTAGAGCAGGAGTTTGATCCACATACAGATGCTTTAGGCATACCTCACTGACCGAGTCTGATGGCTAGTAATGTGCAGTCAAGACATGCATGTAAAACTGTAGTTTAAGTCACTTCTTTGTCTCTGTTTGCATGGGTGAATTATGGGAAAAAAACACCAATCAATACATACCGTAACAAACCACTGGGGTTGTGTTCAGTCCTGGAATTCAGGTGCAGTAACAGCTCTCCCTCACCACCATGATCCACAGAGATCCTGAGCTTGAGAACAGGTTCTGTCAGGTCAGTGATGGCACAGGGGCTTTAATAACAATTACAGAAAAATCCACGGCAAAGGAATCCAAAGAAGGGTCCGGTAGAAATCAGAGTCAGATGATCCAGAGGTCAGGGCAGGCAGCAATCAGCAAAATACAGAGAGCAGGCAAAGTCAGGAAACCAGCAAGGACAGGAAACACAAGGAAACAAATGCTAGGAGTTCTGAGACAGGCAACAAAACAACCAAGCACCCTAAGACACACCTCTTCCAACCTCTGACCTGCAGACCAGTCTCCTCATGCTGCCATCTTGGAATGCTGGAACAATTACTGCGAGTTCCCTGGCCATGAATCGAGGTTCAGAGGATGCAGACTGGGGTGCAGCAGCCACAGACACTATGACAGCGGGAACCCTGGGACAGGTGAGTACCGTCTGCAAATGTGGCACATAAAAAAAATATACAACATTGAGCTTAAAGGGATACTGTAGTGCCATGAATACAAAGCTGTGTTCCTGGCACAACTGATCCCTCTGCTTCCCCCCTCGCTCACGCCCCCTTCTACGCTTTATTTAAGGTGTGACAAACTCCCCTTTTCCTGTGAGTTTGCCACAAGTTTTTGGAGGGGCCTGTTTGCCAGCCTCCTACCCTGTGGCTATGGTCCCTGCAGTAGACCTGGCTAAAAATACTTTAAAAGGCTCTGTTAATGTGAAGTATGTACTTTTGTACTCTGGACAGAGAGACCAACCGTTAGCAATAATTCTCTGGAACTGTTTTGGGCATAGGACCATGAGCATGGTCAGTCAACAATAAGACTTCCAGGAAATTTCTGAATCCCTGAACTGATCTGGGTGATTTTCTGGATATGCTGGTCACCCAGATCAGGGCTATCAGGGGATGTAACATTTGTGGGGTTTTATGTATTTTTAGGGTACTTTTTGTTTTTTCTGTGCTTGGTACAGTTATCTCCCAAGCAGGGGGGGGGGGGGGGGGGGGGATTGTGTGCTATGTATGGGAGTGCCTTACATTGTAAATGTGTGATTATTGGCTTGTAAGTTTGTGTCCCTGTCTATGTGGGTGTACACATTGCTTGGGGACTTGGATAAAAGACCAGTGTTGCTCCCATTAAAGAGAGATTTGTTTACCCCTTCATCAAGTCTTGGCTCATGTTTGGGGGATTGGAGAACTACATACACTCTGGGGATTACTATATCACAATACTCCCCTGAGTATAATCACTAGCTCTTATAAGAGCTGTTCCTGCTACGCTCTCTGGAATAAGAGAGGTCTACCCACTGGAAGCTGGATGCTGGTCTTGGGTCCAGGGTGGGTGGAGGACGGCGAGGCCCCAACCAAGCTACGGCGGTTCGTGGGGTTTACGGTAGTTATGGTGTTCCAGTGCAGTGCTTATGGTACTTGCAAGTACTAGGAAGCAACGATTGACGGAGATACCCGGTCGGGGTGCCAGGTGGTCTGTCACATAAGGGTTAAAACCCTTTATTTACATGCCTTATCCCAGCACTGATGTCCATCGGCACTGGGTCAAAACTCTGCCCCCTCCTCCGTACCGCAAAGAGTGGGGTCTAATGCCCATGCACGACAAATGCAGCATGTGCATTAGACCTCCCCATAGGAAAGCATTGAACCAATGCTTTCCTATAGGGAAAAATCTGGCGCTGGAGGTCCTGTTGCAGAGCAGACAGTAACTGAGGGCAGACTTAGAACTGTAATGTAAACATTGCAGTTCTCTGGAACTGCAATGTTTTTACACTGCAACACGAAGTGCAATAGGGACACAGCACCCAGACCACTTCAATGAGCTGAAGTTGTCTGGGTGTCTACTGTGTCCCTTTAAACACTGTTTGACCCTTGTTAGAAAAGAGTTAGTCTGTGATTTAAAAAAAGAAAATCCACATGAACTACTTTTGTCTAGATGACACAGGCTTGCAAAACAATTACTTTATTTGGAACACTCCAACAAAATTTCAGCCCTAATTAGATATATTAAAGGACCACTCTAAGCACCCAGACCACTTCAGCTTAATGAAGTGGTCTGGGTGCCAGGTCCAGCCAGGATTAACCCATTCTTTTATAAACATAGCAGTTTCAGAGAAACTGCTATGTTTATAAATGGGTTAAGCCTTCCCCCAAAGCCTCTAGCGGCTATCTCATTGACAGCCGCTAGAGGGGCTTGCGTGCTTCTCACTGTGATTTTCACAGTGAGAGCACGCCAGCATCCATAGGAAAGCATTGTGAATGCTTTCCTATGCGACCGGCTGAATGCGTGCGCAGCTCTTGCCGCACGTGCGCATTCAGCCAACGGGAAGGAACGGAGGAGGAGAGCTCCCGCCCAGCGCTGGAAAAAGGTAAGTTTGTACCCCTTTCCCCCTTCCAGAGCTAGGCGGGAGTGGGACCCTGAGGGTGGGGGCACCCTCAGGGCACTAAAGTGCCAGGAAAACGAGTATGTTTTCCTGGCACTATAGTGGTCCTTTAAGAGTGAAGTGTGAAGAGTGGAGTAAATGCATTTGATATACTTGTAATCTGGCTTTGACAAAAGTGAAATAACAATGAACAAATTCATTAGAAGTCTGAAACTGGGACTGTCAGATTTGGGACATTTAGAAGGCCTGCAGTATTTCCCTACACAGTCACCAAAGCACTCAAACAATTAATTTTTTATCCATTTCCCAATTCTCTTGCTATCGGGATACTGACAAATGATGTGCTTTAAGCTCTGGGGTAGAACCATTGTTCAAGGTGCATGTGGATTTCCCGCATGGATTATTGTAACCCTCTCCTAATTGGTCTTCCCAAAAGCTGTATTGCCCCGCTACAGTCTGTAATGAATGCTGCCGCCAGACTGATTTTAGTCGGTCCTCTCACACCTCACCCCTCTGTCAGTCCTTACATTGGCTTTCTGTTTCTTATAGAACTCAATTCAAAGTGCTAACCCATACCTATAAAGCACTAAATAATCTTAGCCCCTCTTATTAATAGGTATGCCCCTTCTCGGTCTCTCTGCTCTGCCCGTGACCTTCTCCTGTCCGCTGCTCGCACCCGTATGGACAACTCACGCTTGCAGGACATATCGCGGGCAGGCTCCCTTTCTATGGAATAGCCTGCCTAACGCCATCAGACTCTCCCCTAGTCTTCAATCGTTTAAAACCCATCTCTTTAGGAAAGCCTATTGAGTAACCTCCCAGAGTAACCTCTACCTCACATACCTCACATATCTGTCTCTTGCTCTCTCCTAAAGAGCAGCACTTTACTATCTCATCCAGCTCTTCTTCACTTCCACATTACAGGGAGTGCAGAATTATTAGGCAAGTTGTATTTTTGAGGATTAATTTTATTATTGAACAACAACCATGTTCTCAATGAACCCAAAAAACTCATTAATATCAAAGCTGAATATTTTTGGAAGTAGTTTTTAGTTTGTTTTTAGTTATAGCTATGTTAGGGGGATATCTGTGTGTGCAGGTGACTATTACTGTGCATAATTATTAGGCAACTTAACAAAAAACAAATAAGCCTATTGAGTAACCTCCCAGAGTAACCTCTACCTCACATACCTCACATATCTGTCTCTTGCTCTCTCCTAAAGAGCAGCACTTTACTATCTCATCCAGCTCTTCTTCACTTCCACATTACAGGGAGTGCAGAATTATTAGGCAAGTTGTATTTTTGAGGATTAATTTTATTATTGAACAACAACCATGTTCTCAATGAACCCAAAAAACTCATTAATATCAAAGCTGAATATTTTTGGAAGTAGTTTTTAGTTTGTTTTTAGTTATAGCTATGTTAGGGGGATATCTGTGTGCAGGTGACTATTACTGTGCATAATTATTAGGCAACTTAACAAAAAACAAATATATACCCATTTCAATTATTTATTATTACCAGTGAAACCAATATAACATCTCAACATTCACAAATATACATTTCTGACATTCAAAACAAAAACAAATCAGTGACCAATATAGCCACCTTTCTTTGCAAGGACACTCAAAAGCCTGCCATCCATGGATTCTGTCAGTGTTTTGATCTGTTCACCATCAACATTGCGTGCAGCAGCAACCACAGCCTCCCAGACACTGTTCAGAGAGGTGTACTGTTTTCCCTCCTTGTAAATCTCACATTTGATGATGGACCACAGGTTCTCAATGGGGTTCAGATCAGGTGAACAAGGAGGCCATGTCATTAGATTTTCTTCTTTTATACCCTTTCTTGCCAGCCACGCTGTGGAGTACTTGGACGCGTGTGATGGAGCATTGTCCTGCATGAAAATCATGTTTTTCTTGAAGGATGCAGACTTCTTCCTGTACCACTGCTTGAAGAAGGTGTCTTCCAGGAACTGGCAGTAGGACTGGGAGTTGAGCTTGACTCCATCCTCAACCCGAAAAGGCCCCACAAGCTCATCTTTGATGATACCAGCCCAAACCAGTACTCCACCTCCACCTTGCTGGCGTCTGAGTCGGACTGGAGCTCTCTGCCCTTTACCAATCCAGCCACAGGCCCATCCATCTGGCCCATCAAGACTCACTCTCATTTCATCAGTCCATAAAACCTTAGAAAAATCAGTCTTGAGATATTTCTTGGCCCAGTCTTGACGTTTCAGCTTGTGTGTCTTGTTCAGTGGTGGTCGTCTTTCAGCCTTTCTTACCTTGGCCATGTCTCTGAGTATTGCACACCTTGTGCTTTTGGGCACTCCAGTGATGTTGCAGCTCTGAAATATGGCCAAACTGGTGGCAAGTGGCATCGTGGCAGCTGCACGCTTGACTTTTCTCAGTTCATGGGCAGTTATTTTGCGCCTTGGTTTTTCCACACGCTTCTTGCGACCCTGTTGACTATTTTGAATGAAACGCTTGATTGTTCGATGATCACGCTTCAGAAGCTTTGCAATTTTAAGAGTGCTGCATCCCTCTGCAAGATATCTCACTATTTTTTACTTTTCTGAGCCTGTCAAGTCCTTCTTTTGACCCATTTTGCCAAAGGAAAGGAAGTTGTCTAATAATTATGCACACCTGATATAGGGTGTTGATGTCATTAGACCACACCCCTTCTCATTACAGAGATGCACATCACCTAATATGCTTAATTGGTAGTAGGCTTTCGAGCCTATACAGCTTGGAGTAAGACAACATGCATAAAGAGGATGATGTGGTCAAAA